TGGTTTGTATGTTGACTACTTCAATTAGGAAAGGATCAAGCATTAAACCTTCCAACGGTCAGTGCTACCCAGCGATGGTCTAAGCTTACCATCGATGGGTGACCAGCGATGGGTGTAATGCACCATCGCTGGTGAATGACTTACTGGAATGGGGTATTATTTGAACCCAGGCTACCCAGCGATGGGTGGAACTCACCATCGCTGGTTGATGGCCTACTGGAATTCTTTCAAAGCTGAAGCATGCCTTACCAGCGATGGGTAATGCCTACCATCGCTGGTTTTGAGGTTCAGTGCCAACATGGTCTGAAGACCAGCTAACCAGCGATGGGTAATGCTTACCATCGCTGGTTGGGTGGTTTGCCAGCTTGGTACAAGGAACCATCTGACCAGCGATGGGTGAAGTTTACCATCGCTGGTTGGGTGGTTTACCAGCCTTGGTCTGAAGACCATCTGACCAGCGATGGGTCTGAGATGACCATCGCTGGTTGGGTGGTTCGCCATCAAATCAGCAAAAGCTCTCCAAAGATATTTCATTGATTAAAAACGTGTTTTGGTTTGGAGAGTTATTAAAACATATGTTTTGAAAGGTTTTTCACAAAAGACATATTTGAAAAGTATTTTGATGTTATGCAAATGCAAGAGAGAATTCTTTAGCCTAAAGAGCCAATAGATGAGTCTTGGGTCGATCTTGATCACAATAGGATCGACTCAATACATTTACACCTAAGTCTTTGTTCTTGGTTATCTTTTAGGCTCTCGTTCTCATCTTCTTGATTCTCGCCTTGTGTATTCTTTTCTTGCGTTTGTTTTCACGGCGGTTTGGCATTATCAAAACCTGTAACAAAAACAGACACGACTTTAGTATTACGAAGTGATAAACCGTGATTCAACAATTTCCCCCTTTTTGATAATGGCAAACAAGGCGGGGTTTATGCATTTGAGAAGCAAGGTTTATTTAAATTCTTGGAAATTTAATACTTTGAAAAAGATTGTTTAAGGATAAAGGTTCCCCCTCAAATTGTGCATAACCCAACATCTTCCCCCTTTTGACATTAACAAAAAGATTTAAAAGATAACTTTTATTCAATAACGATAAGGGAAATGCGGAATACAACGGAATAGTAAAGAAAACAACATAGTAATAATAAGGATAAGGAGTGAAGAAAGTCTAGGAGTCTTCATCGTTGTTCTCGTCATCCTCAACGTCCATGGCATCGCCGTCCACCTCTTCATCAAACTCGTCCTCGTCGGGTGACGACGACGGAGCATAGGAGTCGTCGTCCTCATCCCCGCCATCATAGTCTTGGCCGAGGAAAGTCCCATCATACGGAGGAGGGACGTATTGGACTTGTTTGAAGTAGGCGCGCATATCATGACGCTGGCGCTGCACAGTCCGGTCGATGCGCTCAACGGCACGGCCCATGTCATCAATGTTGACCGTGAGGGCGTTGAGAGAGTCAGCAATAGACTGAAGAGAAGCTCGGGCAGGGGCAGCGGTAGTGACACGGCTTGTCCCTGCGCCATTGTGGTTTCCGGACTTCTTCCGGAAGGTGCCATCGTTGATGAGCCAAAGCTTGGTCATCTTGGTGACGGGGCCGGCGATGTGGATGTTGTTGCGTGCAATGATCTCCATGACTAGGAAAGCATAAGGGAGACTCCTCTCGGTGCTAATGGATGCACAATCGGCCATGTTGATCATGATGAACTTGGCCCAATTGACGTTGGCTCCGTGCATGATCGCGTGGATCATCTTGACGTCTTCGGTGAAGAGGGTGGTGTGGCTGTGATCCCGAGGATGGAGAACCCGGGTGAGAAGGTAGAGTAGGACCCTCTTCTCCAAAGGAGTGGAGTGAATGGTCGGTGCGCCCTTGTGCCGGATGAGGGTTGTGATGCCAAGCTCTCGAAGGACCACGCCTTCGTTGTTGACGTACCAATCTTCGCCTCCGTACGTCGCGATATCCTCTCCCCGAGTAGGCAGCCCTGAGACGCGAGAGAGGGTGTCCAACGTGATCTCTATGTCATAGAGATTGATGCTCGTCTTGAGGACGTCCCCTTCTCGGCGTAGGTTGGAGTAGAACGCACGCACAAGCCCGTGGTTGAAGCTTTGGTGGCTCTTGGAGACGAACGGCCAAAGTCCTGAAGCTTGGAGCTGGTTGTCGAGATCATGAAACCCCTTTTGTTGGGGGTAAAGCTCCGGGAGGATGCGAGGCGGCGCGATGGGGCGCGTAGAGAAATAGGAGAGGAAGTGATGGAGCTCCGCCTCCGATCCAAACTCGAGAAACGACCCATCAAGGTACGGGTACGTTTCGGGCAGCGAGGACGATGCATCGGCC